CAATACCAGCTGTGACTGTGAAAGGCTGAAATGATAAATCCCCGGACCTACAGCTCAGCTGAAACACTTTAAAGATCATATAGTTATGCGTGATTGATGAATGGATGAAGCTGGTGGGGAAGGGAGAGGGAAGGCAGGGTGACACGGCAGGACATCAGAAAGCAGCGCTGTTATTGGCGTGTAGTCACAGATGGGATAAATTCAGAAAAGCATTTGTAAATCAGGCAGGGATAAGAAATAGCACCCAGAAACAGTAAGGCAGAAAAGGGTTGGTGGTCCACAGAAATCGGCAGAGCTATATTGGAGGAGAGGTTTCAAAATACAACCCCATGCAGACAATTTTCCCCAGGTTGGTGGGGATCTTACTGGAATATCCATTAAAAGAGAAAACATGATTAAAAATTAAAAATGCACATAGGAGCTTACGGGCTAATTAAAAGAAAGAAGAGATGAAACTAAGATTAGGGTTCATCATTCAAAATAAAGTTGTGCCCTCAGCCCTGCTTGCTTCTCAGCCATCATTTTCTCCACATAACCAATATTTTCATCAATAAAAAAATCAGCGCTTTGCACTTCCACAGACACTGCCAAACGCCTGTTCAGCAGCAGCCAGGCTTGCGGCACGCTGAAAGTGCTCAACCCGAGCATTTGCCACTTCCTTTCAACGAGGTTTTACAGCCCCACGACCCCTCTCATGGGCCTTTCAGGTGGTCTTGGGCCAAAGCAAAAGCTGTAGGCAGCTGGAAAAGGGTGTGTAATTAAGCGACCTCATCCACAGCACCTTCCCTCCCTCCAGCTCTTGATGGGGCTCGGTTTCTGCTCCCCAATCCGGCGCAGCGTGGACAGGAGCAAGGTGCAGCAGCCGCCCGCAGGCAGGGCACTCACCGCACCAACCCTCTGCTCAAGACACTCCGTACATAGAAAATCAAAGCCAACTACCTGCTCCGTCCACACGACTTCACTGTCCATCTTCACATCTGCAAAGGCTTAGCTCTCAGGTCAGGCTAGTCTGAGGTTAGCAGCCATCTACAGAGAGTCAGGCTGTGACAGCTCGGTTGTCCCTATGGCAGGCACGGAAGTGGCGGCTCTGAGCAACACAAATCTGAGTACGGTTGGGAGGGTGCTTCTTTCACTTAACTGTGCTTCTTATCGAGAAAACAAGATCAAGGAGGTGGTATTCGTCTTTAGCATTTATTTATCATTGGAAAAAAAAACCCCTTTGAGCAAGCAGAGATCACAAGCACGTCACAATCAATTGGCTATACATTAATTTGTGTGTGTGTGTGTGTGTGTGTGTGTGTGTCACTCTCATTAGAACAGCCAATATGAAAAAGCACCACGAGGAGGTGTGCTTAACACATTACAAGAGACAATTTGTGATACGCAACCAAACCCAGGCCACAAAATATTAATTAGACACTTCCTATCCGCCTCCAAGAGGCAAGAGTTTGCGGAACTCATGGGAGCCACGTTTTCACGGTGGACGCGCGGCAGATGGAGCAGCGGGTGATCGGCGTGCGAAGCAGTCAGAAAACGGGAGCTCAGTCAGCAGTTAGCACCGTTCGGCAGAAAGGAGTAACAGTACAGTACAGCGGCAATGAGAAAGCGAGCAACAGACAGCGCGGGAACTTTCACAGGGTAAAAAGCAAAACATTTCTTTTTTTTTCTTTTTTCTTTTTACAAGGAAAGCAAAACATATTACAAATCAGCGGCGAAACAGAATCAGCATTGTGGTAAGCTGGAAACACAGAACAGCAGA